AAAGATCCTGTGAAACCACCCCACTGTAAGGATGTCTGGTAGGAATGAGCTGATATAGGTACTTCCAGCCAAGCACCAGAATTAGGTATTTCTGCATCACAGTATGACTGAAAGAGCCATTTCCCGATTCTGCCAATTCTTCTTTATAGAAATTCACCTCATGTGAGCAGTCCTGTTGAGTTCAGCTGAATTACTCATCTGAATATGAGGCCAGGACAGTGTGCTCGGGTATGTAAAACTGCTCTGCATGCTAATGCTATGCCCTGAGTGATCGAGGAGTGCTGTTCATTATTACCTTTTACCTTTCCTTTTCCAGGTTGATAAAGTGCCATCAGCCCTTGGTGACTACTGGCTCCTTGGGCAATGTTCCACATGCATTCTGCTGGTGACATACCACCCCCTATCAGCCACATGTGCGTTTGATGGGAGAGTGAGCTCAGCCTCTAGCTTACATTGATCTGGCAGGCTTTCAGCAAACCATGGTTTCCTACCATCATTGCCCTGGCACTGCTCCGCTGGTTAATCTAATGCAGACAGGATGCTTGAGCCTTTCCATCTCTTTTATTGCATGCCATGCTCTGAAAGGATGCCAGAGCTCAGGCAAGAAGGTGCTAGCATCCACATCTATGTTAGGATGGTAACGTAGGAGGTGAGGTGAACCAGTGGAGATAATGGTGGAAAACTTACGGGTAGAAAATGTGCAGCTGCATTCCCACAGGCTAACGGGGTGAAGTCCCTTTTTTTCCAATATTGTTTTTTTTCCTAAATTAAAATTTAAATTATTTTCTTCTCTCACATCCTAAATAGTGAAATGTTGAAATAGGCACCTCAGAAAAACATACAATATTGGAAAAACAGGACTTGCCTTACCCCCTATGACAGATCCATTGCAGGTCAGTGGTGGAGAGCGTGATGTTACCAGCAGAGAGCATGCTGAGGCAACACACTGAACTAGTGCCAGTAACAACCAAGAGCCCTCCTGAAAGGAAAGGAGAAGGATTGAGGAGTTAGAAGTCTCTGATAAGTCTAATGCCATGTGGGGTAGGTCTGACTCAAACCAGTGGGCATGAATCCATCTGACAAACCAGAGCTGGTGGCCACGGGACAGATCTGATCCAGAAGCCTTTGGATAAAGAAATGCAATATGGTGCACAAGCCAATAGGACCTCTCCCAGCAGGACATCCCAGCCTGGACATAGCTGGGTTGGTGCAACTGGATCAGTGCATGACGTGCTGAGCCACCAGACATGTTCAGGCACAGCTGCACCCCTCTGTGCAAACATGCCTGTGGTGAAGCAAGGTGGGATCCCTCCGCCAGCCTGAGACAAAAAGGCAGATTTTAGCAAACGTATTACAAAACCAAGCCGTGCAATTGAGGCAGGAGCCTGGTGCTATTTATTTTTGAAAGAAATATTCATATTTACTTGAGTTTGATCGTCAATTTTCAATACTTCTTATGGATATAACACACAGATGAGCTCTGGTGCTTGTAAAGGAAAGTCGTGACCCTTGGCAAGTGAGGGTCATTACTGCTAGGGCTTCTGCTGTTTGAGAAAGTTTTGGAATTGGTTCAGGGTTGTTGGAGAAGCACACCGGCTGCATAGCATTCCTTAGGAATTCTGGCTACTTACAGTCTTGGCTTTGGGCACGTTTCAGAACTAATTCTCTAGAGAAATGCAGATCCATCCTGCCTTTCTTCCAGCTACTGTTTCGTCTGTCTGCCTAGCATGAGTGCACATTTGATTCGCAATTAGTAGGAGTCTGCAGAGATTCAGAAGTCTGCCCTGATGGTCCCTGCTGGGGCCTAGCATTGTAAGATCTTCCTATATGGTTTTGCAGTGTTTAATTGCTACCAAGATGCAAAGTAAATTCATGCAATTTCATTGTTATTTTTTAAAGTATTTCATAACACCATACCTTGGATGCCATGTAAAAATGGAAATGAGACACAATTAACTCAAGAGATCTCATGGATTTTGTGTTTACAAAGATTCTGTCATTACCAAATCCATTCTTCTTCATGGCATTTGTGACTTACAGGCTTGTATCAGCTCTCATTTGGAAGGTTATCTCTGTAACCATAAATGCTAAGAACATGCATCTGAATATAAAAGCTTATTTTTTTTACCCGAATCTAAATTATTAGTTTCTAGAATATATTTGTCACTAGCTATGTTCAAAGACAAATGTTAAATGTGGAACAATGCACAGCTTGCATAGTGAGTATTAGAAAAATCTGAAGTAAACATAGTTTAGTTTTCCCAATATATATATTAAATGTATAAATCTCTCTTCATATTTAGACATACATGCTGAAAAACCTTGAACATAAGAATCATCAGCATTTTGAATGTCTGCCATCTAATCAATTCAGATCCCACAGCCTTTAAATTGCAAACATTTAACCAAGTCACCAAACATTTTAGCTCAAAGTTTATATAGAAAGGATTAAAATAAGGTCGCAAAACTGTGCCTGTGCAGCAAAGGTGGGGATTTGTGACCTCAGTGTGTCCCAGCCACATGGTCCATCTACAGATTTACAGATTTAACACCAGATTTTCTTTTTGCTTCTAAAACTATCAGATACACTCAGTGTCGTAAGACACCTTAGTATCAAAGAAGGTGTGATAATCAGATTTACAGAGGTTTGCTTCTTACTCCTTAAATAAGTGCATTGATAACTACTTTTTTAATGCATTACGATAAAGTGTTTCATATATTCCTGGCATGAATAGCACACGACATGTCAAGCAGATTTTTTTCAATACTAGTCTTAAAAGAAACAGCTGTTTTGTTTCAGGCATATTTAACTTTCTTTGTTAATTCAGAGAGAAAATACACACCACTGATATCTACGTAAAAAGATAAGAGGAAACATAACCACAGACATGACAGCCAATACTAATAAAATAAGGATCCCTTTTCACTGTTTTCTCAAACTCTGTATTAGCCTTGGCTGCATTCACAAATGCTAATCAGAGCAGACACACAGGCCACATAAGGTTCTGTCTTGCTCACAGGGTATTCTGTAGTCAGACTTCTATGGATTTTGGAGGTGAAGCCATCCCCTCAGCCAACATTTTTCTCCCACCACAAATACTCACCTGTTCCTGCAGGACTTTAAGCATTGCTTGTGTATGTGTTTGTTCTTCCTTGGCTTGCTCCAGTTCGGATTTTTTGTTATTTAATTCTTCCTGTATGCTCAGCAATTGCTGCACAAACAAAAGAAATTTCTGGTTAGCATCGTCTGGATCCAAAGCGGTTTTAAATCCTCAGTTTGATAAATCCTCATTTCAAACAATGCCTTGCAGTCTGCTCCTGCATTTATTATTGTTGCTTAATCTGCTGCGTCTAAATGGACCAGAGGTAAATTATTTTCATCTGCATCTCCTTCTGCAGCAGTGCTCTGTGAATAATACATCTGTTAACATGTGTTAAGCTATTTGTTACATTAAAGTAGAAACTCCTGGTACAGTATATCACCCACAGAGCGACTGTCACATTCATCTGAACCAAAATCTTATTTGTAGAAGTATATGCGCTCCTTTTAATAATACCAGGGTAAACATTATGGTACATAAATAATTTAAAAGCACAGCCCTTTAATATAATTAGTCATTGGCCCACAGCCATTTTCATTCTAAGCAAAGTAATATTCTGGAAAGCTTTCACATTGAGTTGCCAAGAAGACAAAAGCTCTCCTTTTTATCCCTTGTGCAGTGATATTTTATTAGATCAGGAAGACTGACGCCCTACAATCAATATATCAGCCAGGAAGACTGCTGATCTGAACTGTCACAACAGAAAGCTGTGACCAAAACCTATTTTTATGAAGAGAATTCTGGAATGTAGGGACAACTTTAAAAGCTCACATCCTCTGGTCTTGTCTAGCTTTAGGTTCAGCATAGGCTTATTGTGACTGTCAAGAACAGGTCAGTAGATTTAATTAATTCTGAAATAATTATATATTTTTGTATTGATGTGATGAATGTTAGACACTGATGAAAAGCAAGAAGGAGACAAAGACGAGATTAAAAAGGGAGTTTATGGTGTTTTCCTTTAGTGATCAAGAAAGGAAACTGATTTGCTGGGGCTATCTATTGCTTGTAAGCACACTCCTTTTTAGGGACTTCTTGAATGAGAAATTTCAAGGTCCAGTTGAATAGGGCCTTGAGTAACCTGGTCCAGTGGAAGGTGTCCCTGCCCATGGCAGGGGGGCTGGAACTAGATGATCTTAAGGTCCTTTCCAACCCTAACCATTCTATGCTTCTATGATTCTATCTAACCATGTATCTAAGCATCTAAAGCTTAGTTTATGCTTGTACTTAGGACTGGTAACTCTGACTCAAACTGATGTTGCCGGTCTTCAGCGTCTTGGTGAGTTACAGTCAGCAAACCTAGAAATAGTCCCTGGCCTTGTTTCACTGCACTGGAAGTCCCAGGCATCAAATGACTTGTCACCAGTGTTGTTTTCAGAGCTGCTTGGGAACAGATGACATTTCAGGGACGGATGGAGTTACTGATAGTGTATTTTTGTTGTACTGAACACCACTATGATGGATTAATTCAGCCACTGAAGTAGAAATAAATGTGGTTATATGTCTGATTATATCTCAACACACTCTACAGTCCAGCTAGGTGAGCTTTTTGATGGGTCTTTCTGCCTGGAATACTCCCTGGGAGCATTTAAGAGACATTCAGGTGTGCATACTGACTCTACTGCAGCACAAGAGCATTTCAGAACTCAATATTTTCCAGGAAATAACAAGGTCTGTTCCACTGATGCTTTTGCCCAGCTAATTTTTGTGTGGGAAGTTGTTCTTTGGCATTCCCTGACCAGGGATGGACTGCCACCTCAGGCCTGTGTTCATCTTGCCTTTTGGATACTATCCCCTGTTTTCAGAAGATTGACTGAATTTGTTTATCCTGTCATATGTCACACATTGATACGCACGAAGGTCCTTAGCACAGTTATAGCTTTCCAGAATTTTCATAACTTTTTAGCCCAGAAGGGACATTTGGTCACCCCATGTAACCTCTTCTTGTTACAGACCATTAAGCTCTATCCAGGATAGCTCTAGGTGATCTCTGCAATTTAGAAAGAAGATACTTCAATCCTCAGAAGAGAAGTAGAGCATACAAGACACCAGAAAGATAGTTTATGCCTTTTCAGGAGTCACTAGCTGAGACACCTGTGGTTTGGCATGCAGATGTGTCACCTAATAGGGGCTGGTGAAATGTCCTGTCCTTCTCACTTGCAATCTGTTGGGCCTTACACACCTGAACATGGCAAAGGTGTTAACAGAAAGGCATGTTTGCCCCCAATTGCAGAGTCTTCTCTGAGCAGTTATGTCTCACCAGTGTGGTCAGTCTCTGAAGATTCTATGGAGGAGTGAAAATGGATGGAATGATCCTCACACAAAGTCAGGAATGCACCTAGACAATTATCTACTGGGGGAGGGAAGCCTTTCTGTTTGTATCCAGTCAATGTGATTTGATTATCATCATTGTCCCAGTGAGGTGCTACAAGTACCAGGGAGTCTGAAGAGGAGAACATCACTAGAGATTTTGTTTGCTCCACAGCCTCTGAAGGAAGCTAATAGTCATGCATATCCAAAAAGAAAACCACCACCATCTAGACTTCATCCTGTTTCAGAGATTTTACTCCAGTTTCTGGGAGAAGCTCTAGAGCTCATCTTTCTGAACAATGTAAACTCCCATCTGGAAAGTCCCAAGTGAGTTTTCAGTCCATCTCTGTCCCTGGGAAAACTTTTCGCTACTGAATGACTGTTACAAATGGGAAACCAAATTTCATTTATGGGTTGAACTTGTTACACTTCCACCAGAACTGAAATCTCCTTCCCCATTCTACCCATCCCCTCCCCATCTTTTTATCATGGCCAAATTTTACACATTGCAGATCAGCTCACCAACTTACACTGTTTTTTTTTCACATCTGCCACTGCACTCTCCCACTGTAATTTAGTCTAATTTTATTCCCCTTCCTTTGATCCTGATTTTTTCTGTTTTGTGTTTGAGGCAATTTTTCCAAGAGTGCCCGAGCATTGGAAAAAGTGGTGTGGAAGATACTCTCTGCTCTGAAAGCATGAGAGAGAGAGATGCTCCCTGGTCTTTGTACTTGGCTCTGGACCAGCCAGGAACAGGAACCCCAGGAAAATCCCTAATATGCTTTGTTTCCCCAGAGTAAGAGTGTGCATTCTGGTTGCAGTGTGAGCTGCAAAGCACTTGATATGAGATAAAACCTTCCAGTAGTCTTAATGGTTAAACTGTCAACTACTGCAGGCTTCTTGTGTGTACATAGGGTCATATTTTCAAAGGCAACAAATGGGTCCTAGTTTCATGGGTGAGGAAAATAGAGTATCTGTAACTAAAGTACTGTATTCCCAGTCACACACAAGGTTTTATACTCACAGAACTGGGATCCTCCCATCCATCTCCCAAAGATGTCAGAATTGTATAAACCTTGTAGCCATCCCCTGGGGCTTTAAACTTCTTTCTCTTTTTTTTTTTTTCTTTTTTTTTCTTCCTTGTATATATCTCTAAAAGCTGCAGAACCTGCTAATTTTGCATGGGTCGGCTGCTGACATTTCTTTTTCCTGATGCTGCCACCAAGAAGTTGTAACGAGGAATTTTACTTGCCAAACAGCATATTTTTCTCTTCTGGTCTCAGTTTGGAAAACGAAGAAATAAATTTGATGAGAAAAATATCAGCCTAAGACAGACGAACAGCCTGAAAATTTTCAGCACAAACACATGATGTTTGGCAAAGTTAGAAGCAAATGGGAAGAGGATGTTATACTGGCAGGAACGAGGCAAGTTTCGTAAACAGGGACTGCTGTCATGCCTGCTTATAAACAGACTGCCTCTCCGTGAAGATTGTAATGAATGATGCCAGGATGATTATATTTAATTATTCAGAATTATTTTGTTTTTCACATAAATGTGCTTATTAAAAATTCAGCCTATAGATATTTCTTCTGCCCCTCAGGTTGCTGATCAATTAAAATAAAAAACTGTTCTTGGTTTTACTGTTTGTTCTGTCTGATACTGTTTCACCTACTTTGCCATCTCATCTAGCCTTTCTACCAGAACTTCCCCCCCCTGCCCACCTACCCATGCAGCATTTGCTACCCCACTTCCCACTTCTTATGTCGCGCTGGCTTGTCTCACAGCTACTGCCAACACATCTATCAAAGTGTCCCTTCCTTCAATCTTGTCTCATCTCTCTGGCCATTTCCTTTAAGCCCTGATGTCCCTAGCTTCGTGGCACAGCCACGGCATTCAGACAGCAGCTTCCCACTTTCCCCAAAGGAACTTCTCAGTTACACAGCCAGGAAATGTCTGGTTCACTCTTCTCTTCCAGGGGTCCTCAGCATGTAATTCTTTGGATCTCTGAGGATCTCCTGTAAGTTATGCAAAGGCCTTTTCCCTGAGCGAAAATCCCAGTGTCAGGAAGCAGAAATGCATCTTACGGTGCTCACTGCAGCTCTGAGGATCCTGGAGAGAGACACCTGTGCAGTCTAGAGCTTTACCATCACCAGTCTGGAAGCTGAGGTAATCTTCATGTGAACCAAAAACATTTGTCACCATGGTTTACCCTAAGAGGTGAAGCCAGGAAGTAAGTCCAGGTCAGACTGGCAGACATCACTGGTATCCTCTTACTGGAATTTCCAGAGAGGAGAGAGGAAAGGGGAAAAAAATTACCCTACATGTTGTCTCTACGGAGTTCAATCGATGTATTTTAGACAAAAAAAAAGAAAGAATAAAAAAGCAACACAGATTGCCTCTTTCCCATGGCAGCTCTGGAGCTGCTCTATACAGAAATGGTAAATATCACTCTCCAGTGTTAAGCTTCCTCCATTCATGAGGATGAAATCCTCCCTGTACATAAATGGGTAGCTAATTTCTTTATATGGGGGAAGTGTGTGTGTGTTTTATTTTGGTTTTTTTTTACACATTCCCACTTCCAATGCTGAATCTCTGTCAGAGACAGTTCAGTACCACCCATATTGCGTAGAACTCAAAAGTGCAGACAGAAAATTACCATCTTAAACCAATCTTCGCAGCTTCTGAAACATTAAATATAGATGGCATTATTGAAGCCAGCTGAATTACTCAGACTGTGTACAATGCGGTGCCAGTGTGGCCAAGAATGCTAACAACTGAACAACACGCAGTGCCTCAAAATATA